CAAGTTTTCAGCACTGATCCCGACTTTTCATTGGAACTACAAAAATCACCACCTCTCAAAGTTAGTCACCAATGAGCACTAGATGTCAGTCCATGATGAACACCAACATGAAAAATTACTTATTCTCCATAAACCTCCAAACTGAATTAATTTGTTGCTCATTGGTGACTAGTTTCAAGAGGTGATTCCCGAAGTTCCAATGAGACTTCGTGACCAGTGGAGTTAACCAAGTCGAACATGAAGACAGTTACTCAACAACAAAACGAGATGCAAGTCGCGCTATATCGTGAGCTGACAGAAATAGGAAATACGGACCATTGGATTTCGACTCATTGGCTCAATGGTAACGTGGTGACCAGGAACATGAAGTTTCTGGGTCCCATCCCTAGTGGGGTGATGTCATGAATGCGTACGAAACAGCTGTCCAGTTCTCCTAGGTTTCCGATGTTCCTCCAATCGATGTCAGTCTATAATGAGTACCGACATATTCTACTTGAACTTTGGGTTACCAATGAAATTTTCCACCAGATGTATTGTATCAAATTCCTCCTTTTCAGTTTGTTTTAATCTCTCAAATAAGTATAAAGTGGTGTTGTGAATTTTTGAAATTTTGAAATGAACTAGTTAACCAGGCGAGGTTGAAATGTTCTAAACTAGTCATTTTTCAAAGTAATAAACAAAACGAAGGAGAAATATCATGTTAGATGGAAATGAACTTTTGAATGTACAAAAGTATATCATATTTCTATTCTTCGAATACCTATCTGGAATAGTACATCTTTCTATTGACTGAATGAACCGCCACCACTAAATATTCGACGCTAATCCATCACTAACCGGCTGCTTGATATCATTACCTTTGATGGTGTTATAAGGAACATCATTTACAAGCCATAATCATTTTGTTTGAAATCATTGTTTTTGTAGTAAATTTGTTAATTAATTACAGGTTGAGAAAGTGGAGATGGATTGGGCATACACGAGTAGAATATTCCGGGACATCCCACGCCAGGCCTTCAAGTGGAACCCGAAGAGGAAACGACTAGTTGGGCGTCCGAGGCGAGGTTGACATGGAGGAGATGGTGTGAGGAAGAAATGAAAGCTTGTGGACAGTGGTGGAGCAAGGCTGAAAAGACTGTAGAGAAGAGAGTGCAATGGAGACGTGGTACTGAATCACTTTGTTCCACTAGGAACCCAAGGGACAAATAATAATAATAGTGATAATGGGAACTTTATACTTTAACAACCATACTGTTTGGAATAAACCTATTATAATTATCACACGTTCCTGTTCACGTACTTGTATTTCTCTGTTGTTTTACTGAATCGGATTGTTCGACCTGTGTTGGCATATGGGCTCCTATACGAATGCCTCTTTATTGCCTCAATATTTGTTATGGTAAGCTGTTTGGTTGTGGCTAGCAGAGAAATCTAGGACGCTCGTTTCGTCCTATTTGCAACTCGTCAACTAGATATACCCGCACTCCAGTGAATAATATTGTTCCCATTGAGACTCAGATCTCGTACCCGTAGCTTCAAACGCCAGAGCGCTATCCACCAGGCCACTGATGCACGTCAGCCACTCTTGTACAACGGGTATTGGTTATAACTTTTTGTTGACATACTTGCAATTCTCCATTGTTTCATTGGATCGAATTGTTCGACCTCTGCTGACATATGGGCCCTTATATGGATACCTCGATATTACCTGAGCTATAGGCACGAGGTTCGAATCCCAGCAGGAATAACATCACTCACTGGGGTGCAGGTATACCAAGCTGATGGTCCCCAAATGGGACGAAACGTGCCTACTGGATCGTCTGCTAACAAAACCAACTAACTTACCATAATAAATCTTCACTATTATTACCAAGTAAGGAAACTGACATTCACTTGAAAAGGAGATTTCAACATATTTTTAAGAGTAAAATTTCAATTGATTGTTTCTTTTTCAGGTGTGAATCACTAGTACCGTTCAATAAGAGAATAACAATCGCGTATTTGAGGACAAAGTCATAAATCGTTTCATAAATTTCATGTGAGAAAGAAACTTGAAAGCGCCATATAAGGAATAACAGTTTTTACAACCAGTTAACTTGTCAGGTTGGTAGTTACCATAGCAACAGAAAGTTGTTAAACATCTTTCGGTGCATAATAGTGATATCGTTCCGAAGCAATATATTTTGTTAACTTAATGAGATAATACTTTCACTTAAATTTCAATTGGCAGGAAGTCATAGACTGAGTTTCACCCGAGTTCAAACTCGTCTGCGACCTCGAGAGAACTGATATCCCCTGTGAAATTAGAAGCCTTTTCACCTAGTGTTATAGTCAGTGACGTTACCACTGAGCTATTCATGCTGTCCAGTGATCGTTTAATGTATGTAATCCAGTTCTACAGGAGGTCAGTCGCAGCTTTAATAGCTCAAAGACAAAATCATCGACTACAACACTGGGTGACGTGGGTTCCAATTTCACAGAATACATCAGTTCCCTCGAGGTTGCAGATGCTTCTTACTCACCAGTGCCAACAAGCATGAAACTTAGGTCAAGCAGGAATTCCTACCGACTACCTCCAACCAACAAACAGCCATCAATGTTTCTCAGCTTGATGGACATATTTCAAAATGATTGGTAGAATTCGGACTAGACAACATGACACTGGTTGCTATCCAGTGACCTATCAACGTCAAAAACTGATTTCTTCTAAGAAAATGGAAATGAAACTAAAGAAGATGAGACAAAAGAAATGTGTTAACTGATTTCAAATACTGAAGTAGTGATATATTTACTGACAGCCATGTGTAAGCAAATCCATGCGATGAATTTGTGCTACACTTAATATGATCAAACTCACTACACCACCAACTTTTAGCACGGAAACCAACGGGATCGCTAGTAACCACGAAAATGTGGTAATATGGTTACAATTTACACCTTAAACCTTAAAATTTCCATACCTTCTTAACTCGAAACTTTGAATATGTTGTCAACACATACCTATTCAAAAACTAGCCATTTTTCTCATCTACTCATATCATTGTCATTTAAGTGACTATGGAGCTAAGGGTAATTGGTTTAGGCGGTTGATTTTCAACCAACGGGTCACCGGTTATAGCCTCACTTTGATTACTAAGGTTTAGGTGGCCAGGCAGCTGACTACCTAATTCGCGAGTGTACACATGGTTACTGAGAGGATTTGGATATAAATTTGACATAAATAGCTCTTTGAAGTAGAATGACTATCACAGTGTAAACAGCCTGACTGTCTTGCACTTTTACGTTTTCCGCATAGAAGTTGAAAAATTAACCGCTTTCTGGAAAATTTTTCTGTTTTGCTATATATTCTTCTACATTTCAAACAGTGAAAGTGAATGAGCCTGAACGTACAGATGGTTCAGTGACATTGTAAATTATAGGTTCGAATTCATGACGGACTGATATCAGTTTGAGGAACAATGGAAACCTAGGAGAACTGGATCGCTGTTTCGTCCTACTAGCATGGGACTCCTCACCAGTGGGCATCCATGAGCCCACCCGACAGGGATTCAACCCAGGAGCTCCAGGTTCCATGGCCAGCACCTTGCCATTGACCCACTGGGTCGGAATCCAGTGTTCCATATTTCCTACTGCTGTCAGATCACGATATGGCGTGACCTACATCCAATCTCGTCATTGAATAACTGGTCACAATTTATCATTGGAACCTGAGGAATAACCTCCCGAAGCTAGTCACCAGTGAGCGCTAGATTAATTGTAGATTAGTTACCACGAAGCTGATAGGAGCAACTGAGACATAAGATTAGATAAAGATCAGTTTCAGCAATAACTCAAGTGTTTCCTTGTCACCCATAAGCACCCCTCCCTCCCTCTCGTCACATACTAAAGTTAAGCAAATACATAAGTGAACAACATCGTCTTCACGTCTTGGAAAGAAAATTACAGACTGCCACAAAAATTTATCTATTTTAATTGATTATACATTATAATAGCAATAATAATTCTCAATAATACCTGAGACACAAAAGTAGTACAAACAAAATCCCCTGAGATTTAAGCACTATAAGTGGCAATTTTATAAATGATAAGTATACTAAGCTTTAGTAATTGTAAGTAGAATAAAATACACCTCACACATGCACGAATACAAACTGCATTAAATAATGTTAAGTTTTCATTGAATCGTGACAATAAGTTAAATATATTTTGTTTAAATCAACACCATTTTCAGTGGGAATTTCGAATAACAGCTAATGAATGGAAATAGATATTTAGCTTTCTTTTGTTTACGGATAAAATAGATAAAATATTCCTAGTTAATTAATTAATAATTCAGTTTTCAACAAACCGATAAATAAATATAAACACTATTGACATGAGATAGGTAATATTGTAAAATGATATTCAATTGTATAGTTCTTTGTGCAATTTGGCGCTTTGTGTCACACACACACACATACACAAAATGTTATTTTGTTGAATTTATTTCAACACATATTTGTATAAATAAAAATAATTTATAATGAGGTATAAACTACTCATTGAGTATACATGTATATATAATACTAATAATAAGTGAGATACTACTTAAAATAGTAGACTATTATTGAAACTCAAAAAAAAAAAAACGCAGGACAAAAATATAACAGTTAACAATAAAATACACTTTCAGAAAGAAATAGGTTAGCCTGAGTAAATACATGATACTATTTAAAGCAGAAAGCGAAAGAGAACAGATAAACAGATATGCAAAAATAGATTACAGTTCATTTCCCAGAGTATTAATACCAATTGGAAAAACCACAACGACTATAAAAGATGTTGAAAGTGAACTGAAAAGATGTTGCATATTCTGTCTACACTAAGAGATCATTATTGAATATACTAATAGCTTCTAGAAATTCTCTTTTGTTTTTATCAGAAGAAGAATGTTGAAAGTTTGAAAGTTCGAAAAAATTTATATAAATATATCCAAAATTTTCAATAATCCGCTTTATTGTTTAACAACAACTAACAACTTCATAAGTATCTTCAAACAATTTGACAAAATGATAATCTACCTTTGAACAATAAGGACAGATTATCATATTACTATACTGACTAAAATAACTTAACGGATACGATTTAATAGTGAGATCACTTGAAGATTTATCATGAATTTCATCTATTCTATTGGTCATTGAATGTAATGTATGATTTGTTTGATCATGATAATACTGATGAGGTAGATCATTTGATGATAATTGTTGAATTGCTGCCTGTGATGTTGACACTATTTGTCCACTTGTTGTTGATGTCGATGATGGGGGAATTGATGAAGATGATTGATTTGAAAAATCATCTAAACGTGATTGGCATGAACCACATGTTAAATGGGCTGGACAACATGGTACAGCTGCGAATATATCATATGTGTATAGACCACCGACAAGTAATGAAGCTCCTGATGTAAAAAGGATTTAAAAATATTTAGAAATTTTAGGCGAAATTTAAAAGTTGACATCACAACGTTATGATCTAATATTTATGAAAAGTCACCAATGCCATAATCAGTATACAACCAAGAGGTGGATATCGTGTCCAAATGGCTTATTGGATAACACTCTGGCGTCTGAAAAGAAGGGGTCTGCGAACAACATCACTTACTAGGGTGCATATACATCCAGCTGATGAGTCCCAAATAGGACGAAACACTCATCTTGAATTCCTCTACTAGTCACCAAGATCAATATAACAGTATACAACCACTCTAAGAACCTACAGCATACTCGAGGTTCAAGGTCTTCCTAATGCCTGTTATCTTCAAGTAAGTAGATAAGAGAAACTGAAAACGGTCTGTTTTAAACTAATGGTCACGACAGTTCACTTCAGACTATGTAATTACAGGAAATGATCAGTGCTGAATAGTTGTGAGCCTTTCAAGTGCACATCTGACTCCGAAAAACGTGAATCATCCTTCACTAGGTTATATTTATTTATAAGAATACTCAAGTTAGTGGACATAATTTGTCTGAAGTTTTCCCTGAAAATTAACTCCTTTTTGATAAAAACTTTGAATATCTCAGACAGTTGTGGTTCGGTAGACTTTTATTGATACTAGGTGGTGACTGAAGTTGGAATGAAAGTTTCAGCGACAGAGGGATCCGAACCACTAACCTTCGGGTTATTGGTCTACTGCTCTACCAGCTGACCTACTGAGTTTCTGACCATATCTTAAATTTATTTCAATCACCCAGGTTTTACCCAACTGCCCGACATTTATTTTATTCACTGCAAACAATATCTTGTTCTTCTCCTCTCATCGTTTTTGTTTGATTTCTCTCGTTCCCCCTGTTGTTTTTATAAATTGGCAAGTTTTTTCTCTTTGGATTCTGCACCAGTCAACTACCAACCGTTGTCAGTTTTACTGACAACTTTTGAGCATATACTGCTTAAACATATTCTAATAAGTAGTGAATACTGTATGCATATCATGAACTAATTTTATAACTTAAATTATAACTAAACATAAGTTTTAAGAATTACAAAGCAACACTTTGAACATATCCTAACCAATGACGGAATCGATTGTTTACAAAACTTAGGCACCAAGTTAGTGGGATTCATAGTGTTCTTTTACCTGTATGATCCTGGTGCAGTATAATAGAACAAATAACAAACCAAATACATATTAATACAAAATAACATTCTAGTTTCAGGCCTGAATCGATCTCACTCAATCGTGGAGTAGAAGAAGAAAAGCAAGAAGTCACATCAGGGTTGATACAACCATTACCATCGTTTAGTCTTCGATGTAACCAAGAAGTCTGAACATTCATCACTGTGTTGCAGTATAATGAACATTAGACACACAGGAGACTCGACAAACAGAATTATATAATTCTATTTCAAAATATGGCTAATTCAGTCAAACAGGAACCCAATCAGTGATTGCATCCAACTGCAACATTGTTTGCTGGAGGTTTAAATCCTCTAAACAAACAGTATCACTTTTCGTAAGCATACAGAGATGCATACCTCCCGTTTAGTGCTAGAAAGAATGAAACCTACATAAGGTAAGAGATTTCTAATGGTTACGTCGAACCATCCAAAGCTGAACTGACTGGACCGAATCATGGAACAGACAACTATGACGAGCTGTGGGAAGACGGGCATCTAGTGGCTGGACCAATGAAAAGATTCCCAGAAAAAGATTTGCATTTCGTCCGTCATGATCGTTCATGTCTAACGTTGTGTCGCGCAAACTCGAATATCTACAGGCAGAAACGAACAAGTTGACAGAAGAGCCAGGGCAGCGAAGACGGGATTTCAACTGAATGTAGAGAAGACTGTGGTGATGAAAATACCCAACCAACGACAACGACAATAACAAGCATCAATCACCATTTAACGAGAGGAACCTAAAGGAAGTAGACTCTTTCACCTACCCACCTACCTACCTACCTACCTACCCACATACCTAGGTAGGCATCATCGTGTCAAGTACAGTCGACTTTACAGTCACAGATGAGGATGTCACAGCCAGCCACGATCGGAAAGACACCAAGACACGCCTTCCTTCATCAATCTGAACTAATCAGTGTGGCGATCTACTACGCTGCACTGCACTGCACTCAGCATAAAGTGTGAACAACATCCGGATTCTCAACACCTACGTCAAGTGAGTGTTTCTGTATGGTTCAGAAACATGGCGCCTTACGAAAAGCATTTCCAAAAAACAACAGACATTCGTCAGCCGCTCCAGTCTACACTCACTCCATAGTGACGCTGGAGATCAAATGGATGACCAGAATAATAAGAATAAGCAACAAGGATCCGTGGCTAGCTGGCTGTCTGGCTGGCAACGAACCAATCAAACAACAACCCATCGCCCAACAAATATGCAGAGGAAGAAAGTGGAGATGGATTGGATTGCACATACACTGAGAAGACGATTTGAGGACATCACGCACCAGGCTAGGCCATACCGTCGAGTGGAACCTAAATGAGGGTCGATAAGTTGGGCGCCCAAGGTGAGGGTGAAATGGAAGAGATCATGTGAGGAAGAAATGATAGCTTGTGGGCAGTGGCGGAGCCAGGTTGAATAGACTACAGAGAAGACAGTGAAATTGAGACGTGGTACTGAAGCCTTTTGTTCTACTAGGAACCCAAATGACAAGGAATAATAATTCATGATGGACTGACATCAATTGGAGACAAATTGGAAATCTGGGAGAACTGGATAGCTGTTTCGTCCAACTAGTATGGGACTCCTCATCAGTGCTCATTCATGAACCCACCCCACCAGGGATCCAACCCCAGAACTGCAGGTTCCGTGAACGACACCTTATCATTGAACCATGAACCCCTAAACTGAATTAATCTTATGCTCATTGCTGACTAGTTTCAAGAGGTGATTCCCGAAGTTCCAATGAGACTTCGTGACCAGTGGAGTTAACCAAGTCGAACATGAGGACAGTTACTCAATAATCAAACGGGATATAAGCCACGCTATATTATAAACTGACAGAAGTAGGAAATTTGGACCATTGGATTTCGACTCATTGGCTCAATGGTAACGTGGTGACCATGGAACATGAAGGTCCTGGGTTTGATCCCCGGTGGGATGAGGTCATGGATACCCACCACTGAGGAGTCCTATACTAGTGGGACGAAACAGCTATCCGGTTCTCCCACGTTTCCAGTGTGTCTTCAACTGATGTCAGTCGATGATTAATTGCAACCTTTAATCACGATGAAGCATAACGTGTACCATAAAACAACATAATGTATATTCAAACAATTGTAGTTCAATGGTTTAATGAATATTAGTTAATTTAAGATGAACCAATAAACAACAGCAGTAACTAGGACCTCATATAATCTGTATACTTTGTGATATATAAGAATATCATGTGACTTATAGCATATGACTTTATCACGTGAACACTTTTCTATCTAAACTAAATCACGTGAAAGTAGTAAAGTACTAATAATTTACTAATCAGTAAGTGATAAGGTTTACTTTAAACAAAAGGAAATATTTCTACTAACATGAACAACGGTATCCTAAACGATTGTTGTTTTCTCATATCGATATGAGAAAACAGTTTGAACAGAAGAAGAGAGGAAATACTTGAAAGTGACCACAATAATATGAACACTACTTCATGAAGTCATCGGATGAGGCTAAAAGTTATCTCCAGTTGTGAAGTGTTCGGATAAGGCTAAAAGTCATCCTATGTCCAACCGTCCTTGTTATGAGATAGTGTACTATGCTCAAGTACCCATAGTTTCTGTGCTGTATATGAATACCTCATGTATTTGCAAAATTCTTAGAATGCCATTTGTTATTAAATCGTGTTTCATACCGTTTATTCATGTACAAGTTATTGGCTATCCTTTTACTCTGTAGTTGAATAGTAAATTCAACTACTCAGGATGAATGTTTCTCATAAATCAAAGGGATTTAAATGAGGCTTTAAATTGCAGCGAAAGGGATTTAACATTGAAGTTTTCATTTCAAAATATATCCATAGAGAAAACATAAGACATACGATTTCATATAGGAACTTCACAACAATTGGGGATGACTTTTAGCCCACCAATATATATGTCTGTATGGATAATGAAGTGTCGGCCTTTCTGACTAGATACTTCAATTAGATATTAGCAATCAAAGATCTAAGAGGATATGTTAATGCTTAAAAATTCATCTAGACTAATGCCAGTACACTGTATTGTCATTTTTCACTAGATTATATAAATTTTCCACTTCTCTCTCGTTATTGACTTACAGTCTTTTGGCTTTTAGTACTTATTTCGTTTTTATCTGCTGGATTTCTGGATATATGTCAATCTCAATCGAAATTATTTGTCAGTCAGTTTCTCCTTCCAGTTGAATCTTCATTCAAGAGACTAGTGTGGGCATTGGACATGTACGCGATTGAATCTAAAACAACTGAACTTTCTGGATAGCAAACTACTATTCGACCAGTATGTTGGGATCCAGCAGCTTACACCCTACAAGTTGTTTCAATGCTTATCCATGACCTAATCTTTACAATGGAGAGCCATCTAGACATTCAGACTGCGTTAATATATCAGTCACAGTAACTAATAGAAATTTAAGAAGTCTACCATGAAGTAAATCACTGATGAGTACCGAGTTGTTCTTCAATCGAATGGTTTATGGATAATATCCTTATATTACTTTACCTTTTGAATGTCACGTTCGTATGAAGAATAGAACATAATATCTTCTACATGAATCAAGATAATCGAAGCCAGTAGACTGCTAACTAATTCACATCTTGTATGAGTCACTAGGAACAGTAGATTGTTTCGCTGAAGTCTCCAGAGTGGTTAAATCGGGTGGAATTCCACTCACATGGAAAACAATAACCCGTAGATTTGCACTGATATCAGCTAGTTATAGTGTAAAAATTCAGTAGTTGGAAACCA